GGTTCCCATGCCCTCCCCGGCGCTCCTTCGCTGGCCGGCCCCACATGCCGCCTGGCCCTCCAGCCGGGTCCAGGGGAGTGGCTCCCTTGCCTTCACAGACTTGCCCATGAAAGAGTGGGGGAGCGGGGCAAGAATTGGGTTGTGGTTTTGTTTATTCAGATTTTAACTCAGAAAACACTCCTGGTATTCTCTTTATAGCTCCGTTAAAATTAGTTCTTTCTCTTGTCAGGTATACCTCAGTAAAGATAGGGGGAAAATTAGTTCTTGATCTAATAAAAGCTTAAAAATAACAAACATGCAGATACCGCAGCATCCTCCTTGACCTCCCTGGTATGAGATAAGACGCATTCTTGATTTCATTCTCCACATGGCAGTCACAGCCACTTCCAAAAGAAAAAGAAACTTCTTTTACACAAAATTCCAAACACAATTCCCCTTTAATAGAAGATTATACCAAAGAATTAACTACACATCCTGGATGATGTCAGTTTTCTCTGCTTGAATAACTTCTTACTCATGTACTAGGGTTTTCTTTTCCTGCTATCTCGTTAGCAGTCCTTTAAGCATTCCTTTCTTTCTTTTTGAGCTCTTTAATGTGATGCATGTGATTTAACAAAAGCTGAAGTAGACAGTTTCGCAGTGGTCGAACAGAAACGTGTGGAGATGGTTTAGGCTTGTGGCTAAAGGTAAAATAAATCTCGGACAGTAATTGCACTTTCCAGCGTTGACCTCAGGGGGGCACCAGATCCCCCAGCGTTGTCTCTCTAAAGGAAGAGGCCCAGATTGCAAGTTCTGTGTTCACTGTTGAGGATGCAGGACAACCAGTCGGAGATGAAGGGAGAGAAACAAAAAAACAAAAACCAAAAACAAAACAGGGCAGTAATTGACCTCGGGGGGTCACTGCCACTCAGAGGCTGAGCCAAGAAGCAGCAGGGGGCTGAGGAGCTATCTTCCTGCTCAGGCTGCACAAACCAGCAGGGTAGAGGCCACTGAGCAAGGCTAAAAAAGAAGAACTTCAGATTTGGGGAGATTTTGCTCAGCATCCTGAACTGACATCCCAGTGTCTAACGTTCTCAGAGCGCGCAGGTAAATTTAAAACAAAAGTACATTTGGTACTTGTTAAGTTTTTCTTTTTAAGTCCAGAAATGACAGATTTATCACTAATTAAACAATAATTGCATTATGGAGTACTGAAGAAAACCCTGCTTGTAGTATAAACAACATCTGGTAAAGATTGAAAAGAAAGAATAATTTTTCCAAGCTCAAATTTGTTGAAAGAAACCTGAATGTTTTGAAACAAAATAGATCCTAAAATGTAAAAGGGATATTTAAAGTCTTAAGCTTAGTATTTTGAAAACAGAAAAGAAAATGATATAATAAAAAAGTACGTATTTATAAAGGTACCTTATTTTACATGACAGATGTGAAGATTTTTTATGTAAGTAGATTTTTTTAAACCGAATTGTTTTTTAACTCAATAAAGGAGTTTATTGAAATGAAACTTAACGAAGAATCTTTTTTAAGAAGAAATTTATTTTTGATGAATACAGTCACCTTTTAATTTATATACATATATTAACACAAGGGCTCCTGCTTGTCAAGAGTTTGGAAGAGTTGGCTATGCAGTGGGATGGGGTTGCCGGCTATTGGGTAAACTTCTCGTCAGCCATTTATTTATTCTTTTTTAATGACCATTCCTGAATAAACTACATAAACGTGCATAAAAGTAGATTATGAAAGAGAATCTGTCTAAGGCTTCCTGAACTTCAGTTTGTCTCTCACCTAAAGCTTCCTTCTCCATTTTTAGGAAAAATACCTATAAAGGGTGATAAATGAAGAAGGCTTGAATTTTTTGTGTCTTCACTGCCTTTTTGTTTTCTGTAAGAGACATTCACATTTGTCTGTAAACTACTTCATATTATAGTATAATTTCCCTTTTTGGTTTGTACTCTCTCTTCTTCCCCTCTCCCCATTCTCTGTCCCACATACATAACAGAGAATTAGAAAATGACACAAAAAAGGAAAGATTTCTTCCTGCGAATTCTGTTCTCTGTGCTCTCAGGCCTCTTTCAAGTGGCAGGTAGCCTTGTAATGATTGTTGATGAATTAGGAGGAAAATCACAGGCTAGACACCAAGGACAGAGAGCGAGCGTCGATGTCACATGTACAGTTCATGGAACAGTGTGACAAGCCGGCCTCTCCCTCACCTCCCGCACGACGCAGGCCTAGAGAACCCAGCCGCTGCGTACTTCTTGGTGCTGACGTAGTCCTCCTTTGTGTTTTTGAGGGATGGGAAGGGGCTGTCCTAGGCAGAGAGGAGGTAAAGCAGTGCAGTTCTGGGTAGCTGTGAGAGATGGGAAGGGATGCACACCCCAGAACAGTCTGGCCCATAAGGAAAGGAAGCCGGGGTCCACAGCGCGCCATCATCTTCTGTTCATCCTCTGACATTTAGTGAAGGCACTGGGGGCAGCGGGAGGGGAGGGAAGAAAGGCAGACTCCTGTTACCGATGGGCTCCTGGTGACATAGTTTCCCTCGACTTGAAGTACTCTGTAGTTGGAAGTCGTTAGGCTGGACGGAGGGGAGCAGAACTTGAGAAGGAACAGCTTTTAGTAGGATGGAGAAAAACAGACAAACAGATGGAACGCAAGAAAGGTTTTCCTTTCTGTCCTCGTTTTAATAGAAAAGATAACTGCCTGGATTGTGGGGCTTCTCCAGAGTTCTGGGTTGCAGAGTGGCCTGTTGCGTTCCTGTAGGGTACCGTTTTACAAATAAAACGGGACACAGAGGGGTTAAATGTTTGCCTCTTCCCTCACGTGGATGCTGTAAAGATTTAGGGGAGGAATTTATGGCTTCCAAAGAAGCATAAATTAAGACTTTAATTCTATTTGGAGGATTCCCTTGATAAGAAAAGCAGCTTAAGTTTGCTTTTGTGATTTGCTGTCAGTGGGACACATGCCTGGCCTGTGAGCACTCCGGGCTTCATGAGGGGACTCACTGACCCTGATATTATGTGCTCGGGAAGTGTAAAGAGTCTCAGTTTTAAAACCATCAGTGAAGGCTGCAGATGAGAAAGAGCTGTTCACAGCTAGGGAGTGGCAGGGGAGACTGGTTTTAAATCAAAATCTCCACCGTTGCTGTTTCAGTGGGGTTCCCCTTCCTCCCGGCATCTTATCTGTTTTAAAAGTGAAAACAGGATGTGGAAACAGGTTGAGAACAACCAAAGGTCTGAAATATTTGGACAGAATAAGAGGAGAGGCCATCAGCATGTAGGGAACAGGCAGATTCCACACAGTCTGGAGACATTTACGACATCTGATTGCGCTGTTCTGCTGGAAAACACTGTGTCAAAGAAAAGATGTCCAGGCTCCAGTCCTCTTTCAACAGACTGAGTTACAACTCCGTTGCTTTCCCCTTGCTTTCCACGGTAGCCCTGTTCTACACGTTGGATCAGACTTCTTTTTTGCCATTTGGAAATCCCTGTAATCAGTACTGAATGATTTTCTACTAGCATCAAATTCATAGAGTGGCTCTGGAGTAGTTAGACTTTAGAACAAAAGGAATTGTTCTGTTGTACCGTTTTCAATATTAGTCTTATTTTCTGCCTGCATTTTCAGGCTCTGGGTATCTGTCTGTGGGCACATGACAGTGTTCTTTGGTCTTAAACACTCTCATACCAGAGCCGTATTGTCTGTATATGAAACTGAAAAATTGGTCTGGCAAATTCGATGAATCACATTTCTTCAAGGTGTACAGTTTGCTTTTCCCTTCTGGTTTGATTTTTTCCATTATGAATACATACAAACTTTGATGATGTTTTCTGGGCATATATCCAGTGATATATTAATAATCGTTATTATTTACAGTGAGGCTGAGAAGCAGGGAAATTAAAGCCAAGAAATATTCTGTCCCTCTTCTGTTGAACCATGGCTCTGCCGAATTACTTTCTCGAGTACATAATTTATAAGAATTTTTAGTTGTTGTTGGGGTTTTTTAAGACAAAAATGGCCATCAGTGAAGGATTAGGGAGTGTGGATTACTCTACTTAAAGAGTAGAGATTTGTGACTTACAAATCACGAATCTGTCTCTTCAGTTTAACAAGTGGCAGTGCCCTTGCCTGGAGCCTTCTGTGACAGCCTGCAGTGGCGGCGCGTGAGCACTAGATGGCACACGTTCAGTGTTACAACTCGAGCCGCCAGCACCGAAGGGTGTGGGTAAGAAAGTCTGGGCAGACAGGCACCATTCTTTCTTCGGCTTGGTCTAGAAAACTTGAGAGGCAAAGCGTATTCTCTTTTCTCTCTTCCTTGATGAGGTGGTATGACAAAATGTTTCCCAAAGCTAGTTATATCAAGCTCAGTATGACTTGAAGAAATTCCCTTTAGAGCCTAATTCGCTAACATTTGGATGCAACCGTAAAATGTCTGTTTTAGACCACAGCGGCATTTTCCTCTGGCTTAGTCCCCGTGCTCTGAGCTTTAAGCTATGGGCCGAAAGGATATGGAACCTGGGTCAGGCCCACTGCCGCCCCACCCAGGCCACAGTAAGTCAGCTGCTGCAAATTTAAACCACCAAAACCTGTCACAGAAGTATCCATGGGTTAAATCAGATTGCTGTCATTGTGCAAGATGATAGTATCTTTATTTTCATTAACTCTCTTTTTACCCTAAATAATTTAAGCTGCCAAATTCATAATGCACTATGTTATGGCATTATTTAGTCCGGCACGATGGTGGTCACTGCCTCCCTCAATGATAATTCTAAATAATTGTATACTCATTTCCTAACAAGCAGGAATGAACAGATACCAGGCCCACATCTGATTCTGAGGCACTTGTAAGTCATGTAAGGTGGTCAGACCCAAGAAGAGTATTACGTAAAAGTAGCAACACAGGCAGGCTCTATGTCTGCGTTCCAGCACGCCGGTAGAAGGCATTTTTAATTTTCCATGATACTTATTGACTCTTTTTTCTCAATTATATGGGCTTATTATAGAAACTGTGGAACATACAGGAGGGCAAAGAAGAAATTAAAGTTGCCTATAATCCCCTTGCCCCAAGAAAACTACATGCAGGGCGTTTGCCATGAGCCCATGGTGGTTCCTTTTTCTAACCCAAAGGAATCTATACCCATTTTCTAGACACCAGCTGTTCTGGACAGCTCATTTACCTGACGGAAGCAAGTCATTATTAATGAAATGCTTCTGATATTTTACTTTCTCACAGTCTTTTCCTTTACAGCCTGAAGCAGCCTGCCACCCTGCCATATTCAGAGTCGTAGATGAAATGTTCAGGTAAATATTGTGCTGTTTCTGTTCGTAGTTGGTCTAAATATGTTCAGTTTCCAAATATGAATATAAAATTCTGTGCTAGTCTCTGGGTGTACATGGGGAGATTCCATCTAACCCCTCTGAGCTTTTTGGTAAAACTAAATGTCAGTGTATATTTAAAAGCCAATGCCTAAGAATTAAGATGACTGTCTTTTTTTTAATCTTTTAAAGTTCTAATAATAATGGTGGAAAAGAAGAATTTAATTCGATTTTAAATTATTGAATAGTCACGTAGGATTTTTCTCAACTCAGAATAAAGGGTAGCAGTGTACTCCCTTCACCACAGGAGGGCTGACCAATCTTTTTAAAGGATTTTCAAGCTAAGGAAAACCAAGAATAAAAGTAAATAATGCCATTCTTAACAGAGCTCTTCTGAAAGGCAAAATCAGCTATGCATGTTACAACACACTCATTTCTATTCTGCAAATACCAGTACTTCTTGGTAAGTGCACTGGATTTACAAGGGTGAGAGATGAGGAGACCCCTGGACACCAGGTCGGGTTATGGCTGACAGTCAGTGGGGAGCCGGACCCCTCCCAGGGAACTGGCCGTGGGGCGGGGTTTTCAGCCTCTTTCTTGGGTGCTGGTGCAGCCATGATATCTGCCCTCTGTCCCATCCCCCTTGTACTCAGGAAGCAGAGGCCCCAGGGCAGACAGCAGACACTGGGGAAAGGAATTTTTACAATAGCAAATAACCCAGCCCTTGGGTTGATCTTGAAACATACTAACTTTAAGCCAAATGAACATAGAAGTAAGTCAAAATGCTGTTTTTAGTTTAAAGCTAGCAAAGTTTGAATTTCTGTTTGTTTGTTTGTTTAACACACATAAAGAAAAGTTAATATGAAAGTGCGTGGAAATCAAACCAGAAACACACAGATTCTTCCACCACTTTGCTGGGTGGATATGACTGAGCCGTTTTAACCCTTTGGGCACCTGTTTCTCCATTTGCAAGAGCAAAAGTTCTGTGGGTGTTGCATTTCCATGCATACGGTGCACAAATGTTTGTAAAGAGCATTCCAGGCCCGCACGGAAGGGGTACCAAGTGCTTAATAATTTAAAGACCAAGAAAGAGAGCTCTGCACGTTACAATTTTAAACAGAGTCTTCAGAAAAAGGAATGACAGTTTTCTCTTGCTCTCATGCAAGGACTGAAATCTGACGACTTGAGATACCGCTGAAGCTTCTGGCACAGAAAGAATGTTACCATTTTTCCCTTTATGTGTTCAGGTTCACATGGCTGCCAGATTAATCACTAAATGTGTTGTGATCTGGCTTTGCATTGCTCAGGTACGCACTCCTGGAAACCGAGGGAGCCCCAGAAGTACTGGCCGCGATGCAGGTGTTCACACGATGCTTTGTAGAAGCTCTGGAAAAAGAAAACCAGCAGGTTTGTTATGCTGCAGATAATATTCATTCCCCCAAAGAAAAAGAGCCTGTTAAGAGCATTTGACTCATCACCAGAAAGGGACACTTTATTTCCAGTGATTTTGATAGACTGCTTTGTTCATGAAGAAAGCTTCCAAATGAATGCCCCACCAAAGGTAAAATCATTTTAATTGAAAAAAATCAAGATGGTCCCCATCCGTCCCATGTCCTGGTACCCAGAAGCATTTGTCTGCTGTTGTGCAGGGACCTCTGTCAGGGCAGCAGGCCCCGCCCCAGGGGATGCGTCTCCTGGGCCCTGTGTTGTACGCCGTGTGTCTGTACGCCGTGTGCTAGGAAGGAAATCTCACGTATTACCGAGCAGTACTGGGCATTCTTAACCATCAGTTTCTATTCATATCAGAGACCTAAACGTCATTCGGATTCCAGAAGAGAAGGAGGCAGTGAGAGTGACAAGGAAGGATTTGAGTCATTGTAGAGGAGGAGCTGGGAATAGGCGTGAGTGGGCCCAGTCAGTAAGCGAGACGCCGGCCTGGGGACCTGCGGGAAGACTTGCACCCTGGGGCCCGTCTGCAGAGGCGGCTGACCAGTTAGCGTGACTGTGTGCGCAACGGGAGCCTTTCCTGCCAGAGAGCTTTCACCTTTGGGCATTTTAACTGGCCTGTGCTTCTGATGGCCACAGACCTACCTAATGGCTCTGTGGTGCCTTGCCTGTTCAAGTGCTCGGGTCCTCTGCAGCTGCCTGTGCGGTCTGTCATGGCCCTTTGTGATGCTTCCTGCGGTTTGACTTAGGAGAGCAGTGCTCTGGTGCTTGGCTCTACTAAAATCCCACATACCTCTATGCCGAGAAACCTCCCAGGTTTTAGCAGCTTTTTCTGTTTTTTAAGGCAACGATAAATATTTATGGTGTAGTTTTTCCATCCTCTCTCTCCCTAGGGAAGTTCGCTAGACTGTAGCAAACAACATTATCAATGGAACCAGCCTGGAATTCGGGAGGAGAGCTCTGCTGAAAGGCACTGGCTGGCCCCCCCACCTATTTTGAGGCATAACTATAAATATCTTTTATCCTCCCTGAACATTCCTGTATTCCCAATTAGGAACTGACCTCTAGAAAACCTGTCTCTAGCTCCTGGAACACACCTGGGCTGGGTGGCGGACGCGGGTGAGAGAAGAGCTGCTCTGTACCCGTCGCCTGAGGCTGTTTCCCTGTCAGCTTTGCTCCGAGCCGCATTGTTGGGTTTGGCATTTGAGACTTGGACTGGCTGTACTGGAGTTACAGTCACTTTCAATTTAGAATAGTGCCCTCCCCGGGCTACTTGTGTCTGGGGGGCACAGACTGGGTCGCGGTGGAGGCAGGGCAAGGGTCCAGAGAGAAGCAGGAATTCATCACTCCCAGCTTGCGCTCAGGGTGCGAGAGCGGCAGCCTCTCACCTTTGCAGGCGCCTTCGTGCACGTGTATTATGTCACTTCCCGGGGCTGTTCCTGGTTGCCTGACTTCCTAATCGACAGCCTTTCTCATCATCAGCCCCCTGCCTTCTTGAGTGCGCCTTTTTAGGTTAATCATAATCCCTGATGCATGGCCCCCTCTGTCCTGTTTGGTCCACGCCTGACTCTCTTTTCTTTTTGGGTCCATGCGTGTCTTTTCTTTCTTTGTTTTATTTGTTTATCCGTGGATTCATCGTTAATCAGTTGAACATCTGCTAAGCCGACATCCAAGCAAAAGCTGGCCTACTTCCACGTATGCAGGGTACACGGAGAACTCTCCTGGTAACTGTCCTGCACCCATTCGCCCTGACTTTCTCCCCCCAGGTAACCTCTGTCTTAATCCTATGTTTATCATCCCTTTGCTTTCTCTGAAAGTAGTTTGATCACATACATATGATTTGTTAAGCCAGGTTTTCCAGTGCTTGTCGTTGCGCTCGGTAAAACACAGCAACCCAGAGTCGCACGCTGTGCAGCCTTTCCAGCAGCACGTGCCCAGGGTGGCTCTGTGCTGTGTGGCTGAGGTGCCACTCTGTTCTCTGTTCGCAGAGTGCACCGCCATGTAGCCATCTTCCTGGGGGTGGGCACTTGGGCTACTTCCAGACTGTTTCCTTCTGTAAACAGCGTTGCTCTGAACATCCTGGGACATATACTTGGGCGTGGACGTGCTGGTTATTAGGCACGCAGAGGTTCAGCTTCAGCAGATAACTGCCAACTTGTTTTCATATGTGGTTGTGCCCATCTACGTTCCCCCCAGCACTTTATGAGGAATCCCATTAATCCACATTCTTTCCCATTGTCAAAAATGTTTATCTTCAGTGCTTTTCATTCTCCTTTTATCCTTTCCCTCACCCTTGTTTTATTTGGAAAGCACAGTGCGGCCCCATCAATGTGCCCAACTGGACTAGGAGGCAAAGACTTGAGGTTGTCATGACAAGCCGCTTTCCCTGAGCTCACACAGTGGTCAGTGCAAACAGCAAATCAGTGCATGTTCTGGTTCCGGTAGTGGAATGTACCAGCCTGAATCTCCCACGGATAAAAATTATAAACTCTGGGGAAAATGTTTTTAGAACCTATTTGAAGTTATTGGAGAGCAACCCAAAAAGCAGATAAAAACTGGAGGGGATTCAGCCCTTGAAAAAGGAAACCATGTTGGGTATTCTGACTTTTCCCTGAGGGCCCTCACGTGAGGGGTAGGAGGGGGTCTGAGTGGGGTCAAGGGGCCAGAACTCAAGGCACAATCTTGATTGACTTGAAATGTCAAAAGACAGAGCTGTGGGCTGCCAGAGGAACAAAAGAAACTGATACCAAAAGATGAACTTAAATATGCCTACAAGTACGTTAATTACAAAAACTAAGTGGAAATTAACTGAATATAGTAGTAAAAAGCAAATACATCACACTGGATGAAAACCCAATTATGTGTTGTTTTCAAGAGACACATTCTAATAGTAAAGACCCAGGTAGATTAAAGTAAGAAGAAGGGAAGAGCTGTGCTGCGTAAATGAGCACAAGAAAGCTGGTGTGGCTCTGCCGGCAGCTCCTGGATTAGGTTTCAAGATCAGGAGTGTGACCGGAGAAGAAGAGGGACGTTTTGTAATGGTGAAATAGTCGGTTCATCCGGAGAAATAGCAACTACAAGTGGGTTTGTGCCCAATGACAGGGTTCTGAAACACACAAGGCGAGAACTGACAGAAGTGAAAAGAGAAGTAGACAGGTGCAAAACAGGAATCGACAGGCTGATTATAAAACTTACCTGGAAAGGCAGAGGACCTACAGCAGCCAGTTTTGAAAAACAAAGCAAAGAAACAAACAAGCAAGCAAAAATCCCCACAGGATTCACACTACCTGATTTCAAGACTTTAAACTGCAGTAATCAAGACCAAGACAGTGAGGTATTGGCAAAAGGACAGACATATATTGGTGGGACAGATTAGTGTCCAGAAGTAGACCCCATACGTATGTGGTCAACTGATTTTTGACAGAGATGCCAACGCAATTCAGTGGGGAAAGGAAAATTTTTATCAAATGGTACTGGAACAACTGGTTATCCAGGTGGTAAAAAAATGATCCTCTACCTCACAATACACAAAAATTGGTTAGAGATGGATCACAGACTTCAAAATAAATGTTCAAACTATAAAGCCCGTAAAAGTAAACAAGGAGAATCTCTTTTTTGATGTTGGGATAATCTAAGATTTCTTAGAAGGAATGCAGAAAAGCACTAACAATATGAGAAAAATGGGTAAATTAGACTTCATCAGAACTTTAAACTTCTGTTCTTTGATAGATGTCCTTAAGAAAATGCAGAAACAATCCAACAGCAGGTGGAAATTATTTTCAATATGTATCTAACTGGGGACTGGTCCAGAATATATAAAGATCTCTTAAAACTCAAGAACATAAGAAACAACTCAGTTTTTAAAAATGGGCCAAAGACTTGAATACACACATCAAAAAATATGTGTAAGTTGGCAGTTAACACATGAAATTTTTCAACATCACTTGTGTCAGGAAAATGAACAGGAAAGCCGTAAGGTAACATTTCACACCCATGAGTATGGCTAAAATTAGTAAGATTGACAATATCAAATGTTGGCAAGTATGTGAAGCAACTGGAATTCTCATAGATTGCTGATGGGAGCAGTTTTTTATAAAGTTAAACGAGCATTTACTCTACAGCCTAGTGATTCCATTCCTATAGTATTTACTCAAGAAAAATGAAAGCACATGTCCACAGAAAGACATAAATATGAATGTTAATTGCAGCTTTATTCATAGTTTTCCCCAAACTGGAAACAACCCAAACGCCCATCAATGGGAGAATGAATAGGTTATGGTGTATTCATACAATGACTACTTCTAAGCAATAAAAAAGAAAATAACTGCTTATACACAGTAACATGGATAAATCTCAAAAGAACATGTGGAGCCAAAGAAGCAAGAAGTACATACTCTTATGATTCTATTTCTGTGAAATTCAAGAATATGCAAAACTAATCTCTCTCGGCAAAATAAAAATATTGGTTGCAAGGTCGAGGTGGAGGGGTTGACTAACACCCACCAGGGACCCTTGTGGGGTGACCAAAAGGCTCTGGGTCTTGACTGAACCGCTGGTCACGTGGGATTTACACATTTACCAGAACTCATCAGATTGGACGCTCAAAGCCCTAGCACTCCACTGCTTATCAGTTTTACCTCAACTTTTTACAAAAGTACTTCAAAGCTTCTGCGCCTTCTGAGGGCATGGATGGCGAAAGCACCTTGGCTGTCAGAGTACTGTGGGCACCATTGTTGTTTTGTGCTTTTTTTTGGTTGTCAAAAAACCATCTCACAACTGCCTTGGAAACGCTGACTTAAATAGGGGATTTATGTGTATAACTGGGTTCATGTGAGGTTAAGAGCTGATATAAAGACATTGGGAGCATAACTTTGTTTTCCTTAAGTCCCAGAAGGTGACTTTAAAAGCCTTATTTTTCTGTCACATGTTTACAGGATTATTAGAAGCATCTTTTTTCTTTAACGTTTAAGAAAACATTCTGATCACATAAGTACCAGTCGGTCGTTTGGGGGCAGAGGATGCAAGGTTTTGTATTTTCTTAACACCTCTTCCAATCCTGATGTTCATGCAGTTTTGAATTTTTGATTCTCTCGTAGCCGAAGTTTGCACTCAAGACCTACTTTCCTTATGCTTCTCCATCTCTTGTCATGGTGTTACTCCAACGCCCGAAAGGTACGTGAAGGTTGATTCTGCCCATATTAAAGTAACTTCTGGGAAAATACACTGATAAACCACAACCCTTCCCCCCCCAGCTCCTTACCTCCAGAGCAAGGGAGATGAAATCGGTCATCTCCAACATCCCTTTGAGCTCTCAGGGTCTCACATTCTGTGGATTTTGATGAGAATTTGCTTGACTCTTCCCAGTTATGCTCATTTATGGAAAGAAAGAAAAAAGGAAAAAACACAGCCCCTTGCTGGGTTGTGATAGGCTTGTGTTCCGGAAAACACAGGCCTCTGCTGGTGCCAGCCAGATCCACCGGGACACCGGGGGCAGGCTGAGACTTGGCTGACTTGGAATTACACAGTACATCTATTTGTATTTCATTCTTTCTACTCCATGTCCCTTGTTGCAAAAGAAAAGATAAAATGATGAGTGAATGGGAAATTTCTCCCAGCCAAGCCAAGGGAAGGCCTTTGAAAGAATTCAGTAAGTGTACTGGACCAAAGCCTCTCTGACTGCACTCGCCAGCTTTCCAGAGGCCATCTCTAGACGTGGGTGTGGGGACGCTGGGGCAGTGGTGCTTCTGCCCTAATTCAACAGGTGTTGATTTGTTAACATGCCTGTGAGCTCGTGTTCAGGAAATATTTGAGAAACAGAGACTGCAGACATCCTTCCCCTCTAAAACCTGAAATCGGAAGGAAAGGCAACACTAACACAAGCCCAGACTCTGCCGTGGAAGGAGGCGTTTTATCTGACCATGGAAGGAAAGAGAAGAGGAAAGGGTAGAAGAACCCATAGTATTTCCTTTTTATGCCATTCTTTGCCTGCCTTTTTCCTAAGGCTTGTGTAAGTAGATTCTTTTGATGAAAGTAAATGATTCAGAAAGTTTCAGGGCATTTTACAAAACCTAAATTCCTCTTCCTTTTTCTAAAAGATGCAGCTTCTCTCCCAGAGTGACCCACTTGACCCTGTCCTCTCAGGCGCTGGAGCTGGGGGTGGTGACAGGCCTGCTGGGGTCTCTGGTCAGCAGTTTAGTGAAACTTAACCTGTGGGAATCCGGTGGAAAGACTTTAATAACAAGATGGGAAGGTCAGTCATTCACCTTCCAGGAGCACGCCTCACAGCCTAAGTCGGGTCAGCAAAGCCTGCGGTCAGCCTTTGTGAGCGGCTGCACGAGCTCCAGAGAAAGTACTGGAGTTGTTATTTTTTAAGTTTGGGAATCTGAACAAAAGGCTAAGGTGGCGTGTGGGCATGAACTCAGCCTAGGTACGTTTCCCTCGTGTGACTCTCTCTGAGACTTACGTCCACAAATAAATCAGTAAGTTAAATTCAAGCACAAGTACAGGACCGTCCTGTGCGGGTTCCCAGAAGAGTTTTCTGCATGTTACTTTTGCAAAGAATAGCATTACACTCACAGAGTTGAAGTGTGTTTAACAGTGGAATATTCTATTCAGAAATTGATTTTGTGCCTACTGTGAAGTCAGTGGCATAAAAGATGAATCACTTACGAGCCCTGGCTATCCAGGAGCTACAGTGAAGGAGACATCAAATAAGTATGTGAACTAATGAAAAGAAGAAAACGAAAATGCCTTCAAAGGCTGCAGATCAGGAGTTACAGGAATTCAGAAGAGGGAGAGTGAGAATTCATGATTCTTTAATCTGTACCAGTTGTGGGGTGGTAGTGGTTACTCCATTACTTATGTTATCTTTCTTGTGTGTTTAATTAAGACTATCACTGCATGAAATGTGATAACCTTTGTCAGATGTTGTTTAGAACTACAGATACATACATGCTCAGAAGTGTTTAAAACCATGGGATAATTGTGAAACCAGAAAAACTTAGGAAAAGACATTTGTCTTATGGTACCCGTGTTTTTTTATTTTCTGGCCTTCTTTTTTTAACTGTAAACCTGAAATTATGTTCTAAATTCATCACAATCAGAAAAACAGTTGGTCAGCTCATTTCTAATTCCTTGTTGACTATTTAATTATAGTCTCCCATGTATTTTGAAATCGCAGATTATCAGTAACAGAAGCGAGGGTGGGTGAGTAGAAAAGAAAAAACCTCGGGCATCCGCAGCATAGCAGCTCTGAGTCCTCGGGCGGGCCGCCTGTGCGCAGTGTTCGTCTACTCCCGTGTGCCTGAGTTAGAGAGCCTTTGAAGTTTAGCTCTGTGTATCGCTGGAAGGTCTTTCTTTCCAGGCCTGGGAGTGGTGGAGTGGGTTCCACGGACCAGGAAAATTAAGTGCTTTCCCCTGAAAAGAGCTCTTCTGATCTCAGCTGCAGATAATTTCTAATAGGTTTGAGTTTTCTTCAGCTCCTCTCTGATCGCTCTCTCCACCCACAGATATCCCACAGGGACTGTGGCATCGGCCACTGAAACGTATTTCCGAAATGCTCAAAGAAATAGTTGAAGACGAAACTCAAGGGTAAGCAAACACTGACGCCCCCCAGGTCTGTTTCACACATGCTTTCTCTGGATCCTTATCTTCCCTTTGAAGGCATTACAGGCACACCTCCCAGATCGCTCAGGTTTGGTTCCAGACCACAGCAGTGAAGCGAGTCACATGACTGTTTGGCTTTCCCAGTGCATGTGAAAGTTATGTTTACACTACCCTGTAGTCTGTTTAGTGTGCAATAGCGTTATGTCTGAAAAAACAAAAACAATATACTTAATTTAAGAATGCTTTACTGATAAAAAAATGCTACCCATCCTCTGAGCCTTCAGTGAGTCATAATCTTTTTGCTGTGGAGGGTCTTTCCTGGACATTGATGACCGCTGACTGACAGGGTGGTGGTGGCTGAAGGTCGGAGTAGCTGCAGCAATTCTTAAAATAAGACAGCATGAACGTGCACGTACCCTTAGCTTAAACGCTGCCCGGCTTTGCTGTTTGGGGAGACAGTGCTTTGGGAAGGATCCCAGCTGTTCTCCTTACCTGCTGCAAGTAACAAATCCTTACCTCTACCAAAAGACAAAGGCAGCATGAAGTCAGCCACATCAGTCAACTCTTCCTATCACAAATGCTGCAGTTTCTCTGTAGCTTGCAGTGCAGTTTGGTAGCATTTTACCCACAGCAGAACTACTTCCAGGATTGGAGTCAGTCCTTACAAACCCTGCCACTGCTTTCTCAGCTAAGTCTGTGTCATATTCTAAATCCTGTGTTGTCATTTCAACAATCAACATAGCACCTTCACCAGGAGTAGAGTCCATCTCAGGCAACCACTTTCTTCGCCTCATCCATGAAAGCTTTGTCCTGAGGCTGCAGCAACTCGGTCCCGTCTTCAGGCTCCACGTCTAGTTCTGCCGTTTCCACCACATCTGCAGTTACTTCCACTGAAGTCTTTGAATCCTTCTAGGTCATCTAGAAGGCCTGGAATCTCCTTCTTCCAAACGCTTGTTAATGTTACTGTTTTGACCTCTTCTCATGAATCACAAATGTTCTTAAGGGCATCTAGAATGGTGAATCTTTTCCAGAAGGTTTTAATTGACTTTGCCGAGATCCATCAGAGCAGCCACGTCTAAGGCAGCTCTAGCCCTGTGAGATGTATTTCTTACATAATCAGACTCGAAAATCACAGTAACTCCTTGATCCAGGGGCTGCAGGCTGGACGTCGCGTCGGCGGGCAGGAGAACATTAGCGTCGTTGCATCTCTCCATCAGAGCTCTGGGGTGACCACGCACGTTGTCAATAAGCAGTAATATTTTGAAAAGAATCTTTTTTTTCTGAGCAGTAGGTCTCAATATGGGCTTGAAATATTCAGTAAAACATGTTGTAAACAGATGTGCTGTCATCCAGGCTCTGTTGGCGTATACAGAGCACAGGCAGAGCGGATTGAGCATAACTCTTAAGCGCCCTGGGGTTTTAGGATGACAGATGAGCACTGACTTCAGCTTAAAGTTACCAGCTGCATTAGTCCCTAACAAGAGAGCTGGTCTGTCCCTGGAAGGCGGGCGTTGATTTCTCCTCTCTAGCTATGGAAGTCCTAGGTGGCATCTTCTTACAGTATATTGTCTGCATGGAAGACCTGTTTCGTGTGGCCGTCTTCAGTAGTGTCTGAGCGAGGGCTTCCGGCTGACTGGCTGCAGCCTCTCCACCAGCACCTGCTGCCTCCCCTTCATACGTTTATGTTATGGAGATGGCTTCTTTCCTTAAACCTCATGGACCAACCTCTGCTAGCTTCAGACTTTTCTTCTGCAGCCTCCTCACCTCTCCCAGCCCTCGTAGAATTGAAGAGAGTCAGGGCCTTGCCCTGGAGTAGGCTTTGGTTCAAGGGAATGTTGTGGCTGGTTTGATCTTCCATTCAAACTGATAAAACTTTCTCATCAGCAATAAGGCTGTTTGGCTTTCTTATCATTTGTGTGTTCACTGGAGCAGTGCTTTTCATTTCCTTCAGGAACTTCTCCTTTGCATTCACAGCTTGGCTGACTGCTTAGCACAAGAGGCCTGGCTTTCGGCCTGTCTCAGCTTTAGACACGCCTTTCTCACTAGGCTTAATTGCTTCAAGCTTTTGATTTAAAGTGAGAGACGTGTGACTCCTCCTTTCACTTGAACATGTAGAGGCTATTGGGGGTTATTAATTGGCCCGATTTCGGTGTTGCTGTGTCTTAGGGAATAGGGAGACCCGAGGAGAGTGGGGGAGACGGGGGAAGGGCCGGCTGGCGCAGCAGTCAGGACACACACAGTCTGTCTTAGATGGGCACGGCTCGTGGTGCCCCAAAACAATTACAATAGTGACATCTAAGATCACTGACCACAGATCACCTTGTAAGAACTATGATAATAATGGAAAAGTTTGAAATACTGTGAGAATTACCAAAATGTGACACAGAGACAGGAAGCGAACAAATGCTATTGGAAAAATGAAGCCCGTAGACTTGCTCAACACAGGGTTGCCACAAACTTTCAGTTTAAAAAAACAACACACAGTTATCTGTGAAGTGCAGTGAAAGGAGGTCTGCCCGTCCTGGTCTGTGGCTGTCCCCACACAGGTGAGCACACTGCTGAGTAAGAAGCAGGGGGCCCAGAGCTGCACAGACCGCTCCTGGCAGCTCAGGATCGATGGTCTGCTCATGTAAACACTCACGTAGAAGCTGTTCCGTGTGAGGGCTGGTGTTAGCCTTTGCCATATGCAACCGTAACAATAAAGGAACAGACACTAAGGAAGAGCGGCGCCCCCCGGCACAGTGAGAAGGGCCCCCCTCTGGGTCCTGCGGGCTTCTCTGCCTTTCTGGGGAAGGACATTCCAAGCTCCCCTGCACAACAGGATGAGATGCTTCTTTTCCTTCTTTTAGCAATAAGAATTTGTCTAAAATTAGAAAATCCATTCTGACATAAATTAGCTTCTAACATGATAGCAGGTACCCTGTTATATGCATTATTTCTCTAGAAGCTTCCACATTTAGGCTTTGCGAAGTTCTCTGGAACATAATGCCCTTTGCATTCCTTCTTAATTTCCTTGCTTTTAGAGTACAAGTCTTTTACTCATTGTCTGTCTAGCCTACTAGGATGTCTACTCCTTTGGCCGCTTTTCCTTCTTGAAATTCTCTGTAATCTCCTTGCTGAGCCACCGACTGTGGCCAGTGTCATCGCTGATGCAGGTTTGAGTGTCAGTTACTCACTCCTCCCCTATCAAGACTCTCACCAGTAGGAGAGACAGAAAGAACTGGCAGCTAAGTGGGGATGAGAGCACCAACCCTGTGAATGATCTGCCACGCCCTGGCCGCCCCATGCACGCTCTCTGCCTGTCTCTGGAGAAGAACAGGACCTAGACCCAAAACCTCATGGGTTACCGCCTAACCCCAGCTCCGCCCTAACTAGACTTCAAGGGCCACCTGCAGGGAAGGGTCTGTGAGCAGCTTTAGGCCGCTTTGTCACCAGCCACATGGGACTGCCTTGCACACTTAGCTTCTAAGAAGAACGAGAGTGACTGGGGCCCATCTCTGCAAGGCAAGCTTTGAGCCCTGCCTGATCCAGGTGTGATGCCCACCTGGGAGCAGGGAGCATGAGTGAGCCCCGCTGCTCAGCTTACTCGTCTGTGGGGTCTACAGGAAAGAGGCCCCATGGACCCCAATCCTTGCTTTTGAGACATAACCCAGCCCACAGCTCACGTGGCCGGTGGGGCATCAGCCCCCCTTGTGGGGACAAGTGAGGAGGACTGACACTCCCCTTCCTTTCTCTCTATTGTTCTGCAGTGCAGATTTCAGAACATTTCATCACTTGTTCTCAGGGAGGACTCCGACAGGAGGAACGCAGTGACGAGGGGAGATGGGCCAGTGCTTAGAGCTTGGGGATTCCACAGGCCAAGCAGAGGAATACACGCCCACATTCAGCAAAGACTGAGCACTGCACAGGAGCCCAGAGCTCTCCTTGTTTTGGGAGCTTTCTCGGTTCAGAAGGAAAAGTCTGCTCTAACTTAATCTCAGGCCGCTCCTGCTCTGTTTTCCCAGGGGAGATGTCAAACTGCCAGGCCTGTCACAGTGCAGATTAATGGGTCCTCGCCTTAAGCAGATTCTACTCTTTCTTGCACCTCCCGGTTCCCAGAGTGACAGGATAGCTTCACGAAAGCTTTAACTTTTCAGCATTGATGTATTAGTGATGACAGGAAAGAATACAATATACAGCTCATTAAAAATTCATGATCGCCAAAATACAGAGCAGAACCTTGTGTTCCTAGAGAGAAGAAACAGAGCGTGTTTCTGCCTGCATCCCTTCTCTGGTCTCCAGCTGGACCCCAGGGAGCCCCTCCTTTCTTGCTCTGGGCTGCCTGGGTGGCTGCCCTGCGGCTGGGTGGCCCTACTCTGCACAGCAGCCCAGCTGTGCCCGCCACGCAGAAGGCAGAGCTGCGAGCCTGCAGGTTCTCATCTTGCATCGTTCTTGCTGGTCGTGGGCCAGAAGCTTCCTTTCTCAGAGGCGTGCACTCACTCATGGTCCCTGGAGGTAAAGATTTAAATATCTGAGGTCCTCAGGGAACATAGGGTTCTGAGAGGCAGGCCTTTGAAAGCCCTCTGATGAGTTCAGGGTGGCACTGTGAGCTTTCTCTGAATCTAACTTTTATTCCTTTGCAAGTTGTACTTCAGCAGATAAGAACAATTGAAGCCAACCATTTGCAAACGTTAGAGTTGCTTTAAGAACCTAAAAAAAAAAAAGGAAGCCACCCAGCCGCCATGTGTCTTGGTTCCGCTCCAGGTCCTCCGGAGGCCCCTTTGAGAGTTGGTTTCTGTTGGCTCACTTTGGAGGATGGGCTGACATCGCGGCTGAGCAGTTACTGACATCGGTGGGCGACGCCGAACCCCCGAGGCCTTGCTGTGGCTCCTGGCTTTCAGCTCCAGCCCAGGCGACGGGCCTCAGCAGAGAGCACAGACCATGGTGAGTGGCAGGGCCCACAACGTGTGCCCTTCGGCGTGGGTCTCTCGGGGCAGAAAGGCCCCTGCAGGAAGGGGCCCTGCAGAGGGTTTGGCTTCACTGACCCGCAGGCCCCGTGGCGTGCACGTGTGGACGCCCGCCTGGACGAGCGCGTGCGTGCTGGGCCCCTGGTCGCGGGGTGCTCCCGCGCTTATGGGTGGGCTGGGGGTGGGTGCTACCACTCCGCTCTCCCGGGAGGCACGGAGGAGATCGGGGTCAGCCCTTCTGTCCCCTGCGTCATTTTCTCTCTCCGTCCGCTGCCGTCTGTGCCCATTTTCAGGCACACCTGTCCCGGGGCCGCGCCCTGCAGGGGGCGCTGTGCGGGGGTCTGCGCACCGTCCTCTTTCCGATCAGCCGCCGGGCTGTGTCTGCCTCTGTCTTAACTTAATCCTTTCTTGGATGGGTCAGTAGATCCTCACATTACCGGCTTTGTGTAGAACTCTTACCAAAGTAACCACATGACATTAACCACTTAGCTTCTGAAAAAGGACTTGGCCATTTCCTAAATAACAGAGCAGCAAAGCACAGGAGCGGCTAACGGTCTGCGGCAAAGACCGCTGTTCCTTTGTGTGGCATACAGTCATTACAGCAGCAGGGCTTTGATTAAAGGCATTGGCGCCTTCCTTGCAAACATTTATCTGCTGGTTTTTAGAAGTTCAACTACCGGCGCTGTGTGCCGATTTTAATAATTAAAGGGAGCAGGTTTCTTTATGTGGAGGGCAGTTCTATTTGCTTGATGTTTTCTGTTGGTAGAAAAAGGCAGACCAAATCAGATACATCTGTATAGTTTACTTGTTTAAAGGCATGTTACATAGTAGGAAAGAAAAGAATTTGGGACTTTAAGAATTTAAATTTAGTGATTATTCTGGATCAAAAATAACATTTTTTTTAGAAATTAACATGTATTTAAGGACTGCTAGCTGATTAAAAAGAAAGCCTGCTATAACTTCCCTCTTAAAATATCACATTAAACTAAGGAGAATCCTAATTTTTCATCTTACATTTAATAATATTTAAAATAGATGAAGCACTGATGATTTCTAGAGCCTTTTGATATACATTCTATATTTAATTCTGTATAAGCTAAACTGCTAGGTTGTATATTAAATTCTATATCCATCATAGAAGATGACAGAGGGTTACTTTTGAAGTACAGGGAAGTGAAGTGTCCAACAAGAGTGACTTTCTAGATGGTTCTGCATTGGCACATCTTTCTGCTAGTGAAGCTGGTCTTTTTGTTGTTGTTTTGGTAAAACATACGCATCATTCTTACTCAGGGTAGCTTAGTGCCAGCACGCCTGCCTCCTTCCTGGCCATTCACCCGAGGTAGCCATCTGCCTGTGACTGCTGCTGTGCATCCGTTTATGACCCCAGAGCCTCTATCTTCTCGGTGCTCAACCTGAGGCACCGGTTTGTGTGGCATCCTGGGGAGCAAGGGGGCTCCCCTAGTTTAACTGGTCACTCCCCCGGGTTTTGTGAGCTTGAATGCCTTTGATGGTCTGTTGAGTGACTTGACAAACTGAACTGCCTTTGAAAGCATGATTATTGGAAGATCTGATTGAGTTTGACAGTATCTGTGCCTTTGCCTTAAAAGGCATAATTAAATCGCGGCGCTGGACAGCACACATAGTATACTTTGGCTGGAACCGTCACCTCCGTTTGGCCAGGATCAGGGGGTGGGGGCAAGGAGCAGCTGTCCCTGCCTGGGATGTGCACAGCCTGCAGACGCCCCTTCTCCCTCTGCAAACCACCTTCTCTGCCACCCGGTGTTCATCTTCTTTTGCTAACTTTGAATTGAGCCATGATAAAAACAAAAAATATGTTTGTATACCCTTAAGAATTAGGTGAGGGTTCATGCTGTTTAACGCTCTCATTCTACTTCTAGGAATTATCCTAAGGAAGTAATTAGAGCCAGAAAAGGACTTATGTACTAGAAGGTCGTTACAGCATTTTTGTAATGGCAGTAATTGGAAATGGCCTGCATTTTCGATAGTACGGATATTGGCTAAATGGATTGTGGTGCGTTATAACCAGAGAATAGCATTCTGTTATCACAGAACACGTACTACAGGTAATGGTGAACTGCTTCCAGGGCGCTGTGAAAACTCTGAAACACAGTACCTTGTGGACAGGGATGATGTGTTCACAGTGCACAGAAAGCAGAGGACAGGGACTAAGCCTCACTTTTAACAAGTCTCTTTGAATCGTGGAGTTATAGTCATTTTATTTCCTTTTTATTTGTGTGTATGAAGTTTCATAATGCAGGATAGAAAGTAATACTTAGAACAGAAAGCTTACATTTTTCTTCTGAAAAAATGAGGAAGCACTCAAGTGACTCGCATGTGAGGAAGGCATTCGAAGGGGGAGAGGGTCTGGAATGAGAGAGGAGGGAGGAAGGCGGAGTCAAACGCCAGTCAGGAAGATGCATATGGAGGCGACGCCCTGACATTGCTGTAGACCCGGGTCCCTGGCAGGGCGGCCTTGGGCCCCCATAGACGCCGTCAGGGGAGGGAGGCGGAGGGGATGCTGCCGTCCTCCATGGAAGAGCCCCGCGGTGCAGTTTCTCACGATCTCGTATTGTGGTCAGAATAGCTCACACAGCACTCCTAGTGTCCTGGAGTTTATGACAGACTTCATTGAATGAGGCCTTAACTTCCAGGAAAAAAAACGACTCACACAAAATCCATAAAATTGGTCATGGGAATTTTCTGAGTGGGCCCAAGTATTCTTTCGAAAAGGACAGAACACAGCTATTCATGAGTTCCATGTGGCATTTGGGATCTATGGCTTTCAGGTTTTGTTTTGTTTTCCAAGTCACCACTCAGTGTACATTCTTAAAGTAGACAGAGGTCTCAGCACGAAATAAATGTTTTATGCAAAAAAAAAAAATCCACACACCTGTAATAATCACCATTAATATGTGACTTGTGCCCTCTGCTTGAGCTTTGACTATGTATAAACAGACTGGCCCAGTGTCTAAAACAAAACAGGTGCACGCGCGAGCCCGTTCTTACCGGAACACCGGCCGGGGAAGGTCCGCGCGCCCCGGGCTGTCGCTGATTTGGGCCGTGATAGTGAGCGAGCCTCCAAGCAGTCTTTTGTTCTTTTTCCCACAATGTAAAAATCTGACTACTTTTATCCATTTCCGTTCGTACAAAAAAAAGTCAATTCCTGGCATGGTGCCCTGGCTGCTTAGTGAGCAAGACGAAAGTCAGTCAAGAAATTTCCATTACGCCCATTTGGGTTTGTGGGGAGCCGTGTGTAAGCTCAGGCCTGGTCGGCCTCCGCCCGCCCTCCCCGGGCGCTGGTCCTCTCCCGGGGCTTGCTTCACAGCACTAAGTCATCCCAGAGCCCTGCCTGCCCGACTCCTCCCACACCTCTTCCCTCTGAATTACACTTCCCAGGTGGAGGTGAAGGCGGTGCTCAGCCACCTCGGGAGGCTGCTCGGAAGTCCGACCCTCTCGGCCAGGGATTTGCTGGCGGCAGCTGGAGAGAGCCGAGAGGGAGACCCCAGGCCGCCTGCCTGTCAACAGCTGACCAGGCGCCTCCTGCTCAACTTCCTGCTCTGGGCTCCGGGGGGCCGCGCGATGGCCCGGGACGTCATCACCCTCGTGAGTCTCTCCTTTCCGGCACCCTGCCTCTCTCTCACAGCCCAGGTGGAAGGTGGGCTCTCCACCCAAAGGCCAGGCCTTTGAAGAGTTTGTGTACCAGGATGCTGCCCGCTTGGGTGGAGAGGCAGGGAGGAGACAGCGGGGACAGACCCCGGAGTGCAGAAGGGGAAAGGGAGGCTCAGGAAAAGGAAGGGACGTCCCCTAGGTCGCAGGGTGTGCTGCAGGGCCCCCAGGTGAGGCTTGGCCTCCTGTGTCCCGGGCTCTCCTCTTCCAGGTACAGTGCACAGCTCTTCCTCCTCATGGAGAAACAAGAC